TTTACAGAACGTTATCAGAGGTTTTGTAGCCTTCTAGACAATAGAACCGTGTACATGATCAACATGCGTAAACGTCTAAGAATGTTTCAGAGATTTTGGCAATTCAAATCAAATCTCATATATCCATTCACATCTCTTAATCCTGTAACAAAGGATGAAAAACTATAGATGAGGTCAATTCAACATGCATGTATTGATATGTCTTAAGTACTCAAGCTCACTAGTCACAAGAAACACGAGCTGTGATTAAATAGGATATTAGGGATGCCATGCAAACACTCAACTTTCTTCTTGACAGGATCTTAATTATTCTCCTTCATCACTACAAGGAAAATTGCAGCTGACTAGAATACACTACTACAGTTTAATGCTGGTTACATGACAGAGCAAGCATGTGGATTCTCATCACTGAAAATTTGAGGAGGATATGCATAAAACTCAGAATAGAACTTTGCTGGCCAATATTCACTCCGTTTGATCATATCAGCTGTGGCATCATCTTTGCCCTTGCCTTCTTCGCCATCTTTCTTCTCTGCTTTCTCTTTCTTGTTATCATCTTTGTTCTCATCTTGCTTCTTTGCTTCATCCTTGACAATGGATGCTTGCTTTCTGGTTCTTTTGTAGACATAATCTACCAGCTTTGCAGGCTCTATGATGCCTTTCACTGTTACTTGATCATTAGCCAGGTTTGTTTCCACAGATTCTACACCTGTAGCAAGTAATGCATTTCAAGCTAGTTCAAATTAATTAGTCTCTACTAACTACCTAAATAATTCAATAGTAATTAGAATCATTAGTTTAATGGTTTGGATTTGCTTATGTACTGGTTGGACCATTTGTACTCGAAGAATGAGGAATTATAATTATAGGAGAGTGAAAATATACTACAATTTATACCTTGAATCTTTCGAATTCGCTTTTTTAGAACTTGTGCACAAGCTTCACAATGCATCCAAACCTTCAACACTACCGTTACAACAGCAGGAGGCTGCGATTACAACAAGAGAAGAGATTCCATCAATATTTGTCATGTTACATAAAATGTAACTTTTTTTTGAAGATCAACATAAAATGTAACTTAAATCGAACACCAGATATTTGTCCTTAAAAAATGTTATATAATTTAAATTTTTTTAGATTGTATAATTTTAAACATTGAATAGGAGTAAATTCTTTGATATTAAAGAGTTTTTCCCTTATTCAATTGAAACTATAAAATAAGAAATTTTGTTTATTTATTTAGACCAATAAACTAATAATACCATAATAGTAGTTATTAAACAAGAATTTTGTCTTCTACAATACTACTACATCGCACCCTTACCATGTAAATGCCATTTGGTTTATTCACCAAGTTGGGTGGATTTCCGCTGAGTTGTCATAAGAAGCCAAAGTGGCTCAACACCCAGTCAGGACACGACAAACTACCTTGAAGACATGGTACTCAATACTATATATATTGTTCACATGAAAATGTTAGGGGAAAATCAATCGAATTACTTTTAACTTTTGTTTCATTAACATTGGTTTTGAAGCTGCTATGGTGCCCGTGACCACAAGGGCTTGACCCCATAGTCAGCTGCAGTACGTGCCATACCTACCTTTCAGAGAGTGTTTGGTTGAAGAAAACTTTTCTCTTCATTTAATTTTGAAAAATTATTTTACAATTTTACAATCTATTATGTGCACGGACTATAAAATCAAGATTATTAAAAGGGAAGGGTCTTAATATTGGACCCTTCTTTCCTCTTTCTATGATTTTAATCTTACAATCTATTATATGATAAATCGTAAAACAAAACACTCATATAATTTTTAATATGGTTTTTTTTTAGTGTTTATTTAAAAAAAATTTCCATAATCATTCTTATATTATGCTTAATAACTATTTTTACTAACTTAATCTAATAAAATTTTAACAAAATTTTAAATTTAATTATAAAATTTAATAACATTTTGTACAAGGTAATGTTATAGAGATAATTTTTTTATCTCACTTTTTTATACAATTTTTATATGTCATTAAATGAGTAGATGCATTCAATAGCACAAGTTTTACATAAATTAAAAAAATTAATCATTTTAATGACACATCAAATTATATAAAAAGATAAGATAAAAAAATTATACAAAAAAATATTTTCCTTTTATATAATATTTCTGTTATTATTATTTTTTAAAATTAATAAAATTATATTCTCACTAAACAGCTGAAATGTTTTGGGAACTGTGGGGTCAAAACCTAAATCAATAACGAACCGCATCTTCATCACCTTTCATCATTGTAAGACGAGCCTCTGTAAAACTTGTTTTGTTGCTTTCAATGTAAGCAGGGGAAACAGCACTCACAAACAAATAAAAACGTTTACTGCACACACCTTTTTTTATTAAAAGGTCAAAAATAGAGTGATTTTGGGCGGTGGGGTGTCTGCAATTAACTTTACTTTTCCACTGCAAATCCACTATGGTATGAGTATCTTAAGTTTGAAAATTTTACCTCTTCCTTTTTCTCTTCTTTCTGTTCTTTGTTTTCTTCCTTCTTCTCATCTGGTGGTTTTGGCAATGGTGATATCAGCTCAACTAATTTTCTGCCACTCTTCTTCTGTAACCTTTCACACACCTTCATGGGGTCTGCTGCCTTTCCTTTTACCACCACCTTACTGGTCTTGCTATCTGTGGCTACTTCCTCTACTCCTGTTAATTATAAATTCTCAACATACTAACAATTAACATACAGATTTAATTAATTTTCTCTCAATTGTGCACCTTCTTGTTAATTAATTTCTTTAACTAAGTTAGTACATACTAATTTGAGAACTATAATTATAAGGTTGAAGTCGAGATTCAAACCTCTAAAATAACAGGTAGTTCTAAACTCTTTGCCTAAAAAATTAACTATTTGTATAACCTAATTAATGTAGAGCAGAAAGATGATTGTATAGTAAACGCACCTTCAAATCCTTTGAGGGCTCTAGCAACTCGTCTAGCACAAGCTTCACAATGCATATCGACCTTAAGGACAATCTCTGGAGACTCTTCTTCCTTCTTCTCTTCTTTTTTCTCTTCTCCTTTCTTTTCCTCCCCCTTGTTCTCCTTCAGTACCATACGCAGAATTAAGATTAAAAGAAAACCCCCCCCAAAAAAAAAGAAGAAGATAAGTAATTCTCTCCTCCGTAATACATCAAACAGAATATAAAACTTGACAAAACTTACTTGACCCATTTCTTTGATGATTCTGGAAGTAGCAAATACACTGGAGAAGAAGAAGCTATGGGAAATGGGAAACAATATATGTGGCTCTGTTTTTTCAAACTCTCTCTCACACTTTCATTCCCTGACCCTCAGGGGCAGAGGAAGAAGGAGATATAAAGGTGGCATGGGAATTCTCCAAATCTGACGTGGATCTGAGCAGACAAATGTCCTTGGGGCTGACTCATCATCTCATAAGTTGTCGTTGTAGGTCGACATGATTACTATTAAATTGTCTTCGGAATTGGAGCAGTAGAGTCGGCATCGGACCACAACCACATGCTTGTGGGACATATTTATTTGGTAAAATACCAATTTGTTACCTCAGCTATCAGATTTATATTAAAATTATCCCTTAACTTTAAAAATGTCAAAATTATTCCTAAACTTTAATTTTTAATACCAAAAAAATCATTCCGTTAACA